TTTGCAACACGAACTGAGTATCAAGACGTTCATTGGAGAAGAAGTGTCTAACTGTTATGCAACATAGCAATTTAAACCTTTTCAGTTCAGGGAAGCTATTGGGATAATGTATCCTATCTCTGCATTGAGAGGATTTGCTTGTAGAGAGTAAGAGAGCGCAGATTCCATTTGGTATGTTGATGTTTTGAAGCTTATGGATTGCGATCGCTTCGCCACACTCACTGCCCGTTACCCTGTGTGCCCATGAGTCATTGCCTGCACTACATCAAACAAAGATCGTCCGTATACCACGTTGCCTACCATCACCACTCACAGTGGCAGCAACTTCACTAGGTCTCCATATGCAAGAAAGAAGAGGGAAGATGCGGAGACCGTGAGTTTTCATGCAGAAGGCTTAGAGTTGTTTGTGAACAAGTTTACACTGAAGAGTGATAGAACCATTCGGTTGGAGCTTTTTGAAGAAGTTGAAAGAGAGTTGTATATCCGCCGCGAAGACACTCTTGTCTTATTGAGCTGGAGCTGCAAGCCCCAAAACACGTCCTCGCGGGGATCATAAAAAGATCAATGTTTCTACCCGTCGTTGACCCCGTGTTGCATTTGAGTTGGGTGCATATCTGGACATGATTCTTTCTCCAGCCTAGGGACACTCAATATCACTACATTAGCTTTCTACTCTGGAAACCAAGAAAGGAAGGCGACCTAGCTTCAGAGAGAAGGAGAGGTGAATACGAAGAATGGGAAGGTATACATTGACGTAGAGCAGTTTTGAAAACCTGGTTGCAATGTTAATGCTTTTCCCTTCTGGGTTGGAAACCATACATTAAGTTTGTTCAAGCGAGTGGTAGCTGCAGAATAGGGAATTGTGCGTCTTCAGAGGCTATAGGCTACTTCAATTGGTCAGTGTACAGAAGGATGATTGGGGCTCAGGTTAGGCATGCAGGTCTGTTGGCGTGAGCCTGCCACACAGGCACCAAAGCAGGAGATAGCATTACACTTTATGGCGTCCTACGAAAGGTCGCGAAGAATTTGACAGAGCACATGCCCATACTTTGACAGACAGTCCTGGATACTCAGCATTGGAGTGACCTATGCCAGACGATGGGCTTGTTACATCGCGCTACAATCTTAAGTGTATATACCACTTGTCGCATTACGAGCAATGTCTCACCTTGTTATACCTCTTAGAACAGCATGCCCAGTACCGTCGAACTTGATAGACGTGAGATTGCCCATGGATTTGTCAACGGAAATCCAGTTCGCCAGGTATAACATAACTTATCATTGTACTGATTGTACAAGAAGTTATGAGGTATTGACGCACTGAGAGCTGTGCATAATACTGCCAAAATCCCCGAAAAGACCGCAGGCCGAATCTCGCGAAAATTTCAGTTCTGGCGGCGAGCGGGTTGGCGAGTGGAGGACCACAGTTGCTGGCGTCTGGTGCGCCGGTGGCGCGGTTAAAATTTCCCAAACCACATGTCGACCCCGACCCAACCCGCCTATGTTTAAAAAAACAAAATTCAGGCTGTTATACACCCTCTCACCACCACAATTCGTTCCTTCCATAACCCTAAATACCCACACACAGCCCACACCATTTTCAATTTTCATCTGCTGTTCATCACCAGTACACCCATCGCCGGCTGCTGCTGCAATTTTGCATCGACTCACACACACCGGCGCTGGCTTCGGTTGATTCCTCCACGCCGCCGCCTACGTTTCTTCACTTCCGCCTTGCCGATCATCTCGCCCATTGGTTTCTCCTCCTCCTCGTCGCGGGTACATCTCGCTACTCGCGTCTCTCTCGATGCTCTCTCTATCCGTCTTTTTCTTTCACTTCCTTGTCTTCTTTTCCTAATATACAGTATTTACTGGTACCTGCTCTAATATATATATGATATCGTATAGTGTTTGATTCTTCAATATCTCTATCTATATCGTGTTTATTTTTGTTATATAGGTGTCATTGGTAATGACTTACGTTTTCTGTTTGCTGTTTATATTGTTACGCAAAAATTTTAAAAACTCAAATAAGAAATTTGGTTTGGCGCGTAAATTTGTTGATTTATCCAAACTCAGTGTCTCAATTTATTAAATTTGGCCCAAAAAATGAAAACAAGCAAAAAATGTCTGTTCTTCATTTTGAGTTCAGTTTTTTTTTTTTGTTACCCAGCCAACACTCTAGTTACCACCCGCGCACCCGATCTTTTCCTACCACCGTCTTTCCTGCACCACCACCCACCCCACCACCACCACCACTGCCCGACCTGGACCAGCCGACCACCCTGCCACCACCACTCACCACCCACTTGCCACCACCACCGCCCCACCAAACCATCCCAACACACCCACCTGCCACGTCATTCGCCACCGTCACCCACCACCACCCGCCACCTAGCTTGCTCACCACCACTCACCACCCGGATCAGCCACACCAGTCCACCACCAACCACCCACCACCACCACCCACTCGTTCTACCTAACGCTACCACCCGCCATCGCACCCACCACCACTCTACCACCGCACCACCCCATACCACCACCCTGCCAGCCTAGCCATGCCACCACCCATTCACACCCCACCACCACACCACCACCACCCACTCGCTACCACCATTACCGAGCCCGGCCGAATCGTCACCCACGCCACCCACCACCTGCCACCACCACCACCACCACCCACTCGCTACCACCCACCACCCGCCACCGTCACCCACCCACTCGCTACCACCCACCACCTGCCACCGTCACCCACACACCCACCACCACCACCCACCACCACTAGCTACCCACCACCCACCGTCACTACTTTTCACCACCGTCTTTCACCGCCACTTGCCACCACTTGCCATTTCTCACTCTTTTTTATATTTTTAAAATTTTTTAAACATTTTGTCAATTACCAAATGCGTTTGTAGTTTATGTTTTTCTAAAAATAAACAAAAACCATTTTATAAAATTTTTGTAAATATAAACTGAAAACGTAAACGTTACTAAACACACCCATAGTGTGTTACTTTGTTTATTTATTGGAATACATATATTTATTTTTTTGTATCTTATATAGTGTTGATTCATTCAATATCTATATACATATATACTGGAATACATATATTTATTTATTTTTTATTTTATCTAGTGTGTTATTTTGTTTATTTTGTTTATTTTATCTATAGTGTTGATTATTTTGTTTTTTTTTATACACTACACAGATTTTTATTTTTTTTATTTATTTTTTTTTAAATTTGAATTGTTAACAAGAAACATATATTCAAATTTGCTTGGAATTGACTACATTGAAAGTAATTAATTCAGTTGTGAATGTATTTCTGTGTGTTCATTCTTTCATAATTTTTATTTATTTTCTGTGTCTTGTACTTCATCTTTTCTGTGTATTTCTGTATGGCAGATTAATTCACAATCATTTGATTCTGTATTGGATTTTTGGTTTACTAGTTTGTTAATGTTTAATATTACATTAGATGAATATTTTAATTTTGACTATTTCAGTTAATTCATAAATTAGATTTTTTTACTCTTTGATTCAAGTTTTATAATTTGTATTATATTTTTTATAAACCGCCAATCCGCCCGCACCGCCAAGGCAAATCCGTTATTATTTGCCAACCGAACCGCCAGTTTTTGATAAGAAAAATGACAAATTTTAATGTCATTTTTATTAATCCGCCACCCGCCATACGGTTTCTATTTTTCTCTTAAATCGCACCGACCCGCACCGCGCACACCCCTAATGATCACTAACTCAATTGATATTTGGTGCAGGTTTTGTTGTAGCCAGGCCATCCAGTTCCTCCTATAGCCACAAATTGGCGAAAATACCGTCACCCTTGCGTTGTCGACTGGGATGATGCATATGTGCGTCGCATTCAACATTTCAAGGACATTATTCATGATAATGTAGCTACTCGAGAGACATTTGATGTTGTTGATGTCGCATGACACATGTATGCATTTGACAATGTTAGAATTATGAAAGAAATTAATAGATGTGTTTTTTATGTTGATGTTGATGTTACCATTCCATTGATGTTGATATTCTTATACCAATCCATGTAACCCGGTACACATTCCTAAGGCTAACGAACTGGTGTGCTCCTCCGTTGCTCAGATAACACGTGGTTATCCCAAGCCTCCCAGATCCTATCCAAGTATCTATGCATGACTGTATATCGTGTAGATATGTTGCCTTGAGCACCACGACTGGGAGCTAGCGGTGCATCTGGGATGGTTTGAACCCTGCCAAACTGCCTCAGAACTCTATTTAGATGATAGGGTTCGACCACGTCTAAGCACTTTAAGCATCCATGGTAGAACGTAACCGGGTTACATGGATGCCGGTCTCTGCAGCTGTGGTATGGATCCCAAATAACCTGTAAATGTAAAGTGTTTGTGAATTAAAGAATATAAAGGGTAAGATTAATGGAAAGTGTTAAAATTATCTCAGGATGAGTAAACTTACATCAGTCGCTACCAAACTGTCAAGCTCGGCTCGAAAAGATTTCAAATGATCAATGGAGGAACCCGCCTCTCTCTTAGATGCCCAATGGTACACATGTGGCATGTCTTCATTGTAGCCCATGTTCTGGTGAGGTCGGAATGCTTGGAAGTGCTCATAAATCCACGCCTCCAAAAGAGTCATATAACCACCCATCTGCTTAACCTCGGACCGGCTAGCATATCCCAATTGTCTGTATAAAAATGCTAATGTAGCAGCACCCCAGGCGTAAGTATGAATGGATCCCAAATCCATTAATAGGCCAAGGTAAACAACAGGAACCCTGTCGCCACTCTTGTCACTGAAGAGTGTACATCCCAACAGAAATAACAAATAAGCTCTAGCAGCGCACTATATAGCCTCCTCGGGGTCTGAATCTGTGACACCAGCAAACTGACTTCGCAACCACTCAAGCCAGACTGAATTGCCACCAGCAGTAGAAATCTCGTCATGTGCTACACGTTCAGTAATCCCCAAGCTAGAAACTACTAGTGTAAGTCCATGATGATCCGTCACATCTGGTACGCTGACTGATCTGCCTACAATGGGAAGGCTAAGAATATTGCCAACATCATCCAAAGTTAACGCCATCTCACCAACTGTCATGTGAAATGTGTTAGTCTCAGGTTGCCATCTCTCAACAAAACTGGAGATTAGAAGCTTGTTGACGAACCGATAAGTGCAACAAGCTAACTGTGACAGCCCAGACTGCTCAATCATAGCTTTGAATCTGGTGTTGTTGTCTACTGACCACCATGGCCATGCAAGGATCTTCTAAGAGTGATTATGACACTTTAGGGGCCCTCATTCTTATAACACAAATGATATCTCATTAGAAACTACCATATAACACACAAACAAACAAAAAAAAAAACTCATATACAAATATGAATTTCACTTCTACTCAGGAATGTTTACCTCCCCGTGCCAAATAACTGCAGCAACATGACTATTAAAACTCCGCAGTATTGATGGATCAGTTGGTCCATCTGGAAAAGCATGAGTAAGGTACTCTTCCTGGACAGTAGGAGAATCGGGTAAAGAGGCGTCCTCCACAGCAATGTCAGGCATATCATCACGTAGAACTCGTCTTTGGCTTCGGCTTCGACTGGCACTGGGGATATCATATTCTACCGAAACTGGATCACGACCTCGACCACGACCTCGTCCTCACCCACGCCCACGCCCTCGTCCCCGTTCATGGTCAACATCCAATTCATGACGTCGTCTATTTGAAGCAGTATGTGGGACACGTTGTTGATATTCAAAATCCATATTATCTGCAAAAATTAATATGTTTGATGACTATAAAAATGTAAAAAGAATATACAAAAGAAGGAAGGAAAAAAAAAACTGTTCGGAAGTTAAAAACCGAAACAAAAAATTAATTTCGGAAGTTGATTGTTGTCCGCATTTAAAATATTCGGAAGTTGACTGCCGAAATAATCAAAAAAATTTGAAAAACCTACTGTTGAAATAAATCACTAATTTTGAATTCCTACTTCCGAACAAATTCCTTAATTTCGGAAAACCAGCTCCGAACAATTTGTTTACACTCCGTGGGCCTTCGTTCGTTTTCAAAATGATAAAAACAAAACTCTACATTGCAAATTAAATAGGAATGAGGATTGAAAAGTAAACTCACCTAAATACGAATGAGGATTGAAAATGTGTTGGAATGCTTCAATGGGATGTCTTGATGGATGCAGTTTTGGGGATGAAAGTTGTGTGAAGCTTCTACTATGGGGTAATGTCTTCAACACGGTAAGCTTCAGGATTGAAGATGTAGCTTCAGCTTCAATGGGCACCGTTGGGAGAGCTGGGTTTGGGGTCGGGGGTGTGTGTGTGTGTGAGGGTAGATGTGGAATGAACCGTGTGTGCAGTAAGTAAACTAATTAGGAATTAATTTTTTTGGTGTGTAGTGAGAAGGATGTGCAAAGAGTGTATTTGGTGTGGGTAGATAGATGCTCCCACCTTCTTCTTTGGCGTCCAACTTTCTTTCTTCTTGTTCATTTTCGTTAAAAGCACCACTACCTTGTTTTCTCATATTTTTTAAGATAAATTAAAAATAAATTATTTGAGATTTATTAAAATTTTAATGTTTTCTTTCACTTTTAAAAACTTACATCTTAGCTTTTAAGGTCTTTAATCCTATAACAAATGGGTCGTTAATTAATTAATTATTAAGACGTGTTTTGAAAAGATGGTTAAAAATTGATTTTTTTTTATTTTTTTAGACTTTTTTTTAAAAACGTGTAAAAAATGTGAAAGATAATGTGATTCAAAATATGTTAAAAGTTAAAAGATTGCTTTTAACTATCTTTCCAAAATAGTCCTAAGTCAAATTAACAGAGTGTAGACATGGTAATAATTTAATTTTTTTTTCTTCAAAAATACCTATATTAACTTTTATAAAGTTAAACACTTTATTATTATTTTTTCTTATTTCTCGTTTTTTTTCTCAACTAGTAACACCACATAACCTAACCATTGCACCACCCTCTTCCACTCTCAATCAACACCATCGTTATTATTATCTATAAACATTTGGTGTGTTGTTGATGAGGATTATAAAATATTGTAGAGGTGTAGAGAGGGATTTGTTGGTGGGTAGATAAAAATGAAAATAGTATAATAATTTAGTATTAAAAATTATTTGAATAATTTTATTTCTTTTATTAGCTCAGTTGTAGAAAAAATTCTACGATATTTGTATATTTCAAACCAAAACGTGAAGGAGAAATTCATATTTTTGACAAATCTCGCGGTGTATTTATAATTCATTTATTTTTTATGGACAAACCCACTTTTACTTTATTGTGATATAATTTTGAAAATTTTGCCTCTTTATAATTGAAAAAATAACCAAATAACTCTAGGGAGGTCCATAAACATGTTTTGCTCCGTTCACAAACTCAACAAAAAAAATTTAATTACCATTTATCTTAAAATTAAACTATCAACATACTCTGATTTATCTTATCCAAACTCTAATCCACAACCCCTTCCCTGGCGTTGCCGACCTTCCCCACCCATTCCTCCGATAGCATTAGTCCTCCCAAATCCTTTTCCAATGTTGTAGTCCCTCAACCTCTTCTTTTTCAATGTTGCACTCCACCTAAGCCTATTAGACTGTGTGCACCACTACCTCCAAACCCTAACCATTCTTTCTCATTGTTTAGACTAGCAACATTGAAATGAATCGCCATTGTTTAGATATCAACCATTGAACTAATAGTTTTTGTTTAGATATTAACCATTGAACCTGTGTGAGTGATTTTCCGATCACACTGCCCAACTTAGTATTCAGTTGGAGAGCATTGGCAGAATAGATAACACCTGTCTAACCTGCAACAGAAAGAGAAGATTCCAGCGGTGGTTCGTCCACCCAGGGGCACTCCGACGATCAAGTCAGTATATCTCTCACAGATAATCAATAGTGCAAACTCACTATTCAGAATATAAATTGCGTACCTTAGACCCACGGGGGTGCCTCTCTTTTATAGCTAACTCAATCCTTGTCCCAACAGGAGCCTGGCTCTAATGGACTTAAGATTACTATCAATCTTGGACTCCTAGTAGGATTGGGATAAACTCTCTAAGAGTCTTATCCTTTCCCAACTGTAGTCTTCCCCTTTTTCTAGGACTCTTATGCCTTATCCGCTTATCTCGGATTCCGATATCTTCGGAGGTAACCTCGGTCTCGCCGAGATAACCTCAGCGTCATGACCAGGACACGTGGCACCTCGGCTGACACGTCGGCATCACCTTAGCCACGTGTTGGTACTCAGAAAATATATCCCCACAACTGCCCTCTAGGTTTTATTACCTCGGTATTCTAAGGTGATGGAACGTATATCATTCCTTTCTTCTAGTACGTCGGTTTATAGTATCTCAGCCGAGATCATTATGTTGGCCGGCATGTCTTCGTTAAAGAACAAAAATTTCAAGAACCCTTTCACGCGTATGAGCTGTTATACAATAATTCAACCGTTTACGACACGCGTCTTTCCTATATTGGATCGTACCTGCGACGCGCCTAAAAGCCGTTTCGCGTCTGCGTGCGCCGTCTGACAAAGTCGTCTTCCTAGGCGCATTGATGGCCTTTTTGCTGCCGTTTCCAATTTTTAACAAAATTTGTTTCCGTTTTTTGCCCTTTCACTTTTCATTGTCTCTGTTGCTCTCTCTCTCTCTTTAGCTTTTCTCTCCAAATCCTCCATTGTTCAAGCTCTCCTTGCTTTGCAACTCGTTCCATTCATCCCTTCCAGCGGATTTTCCATTGTTCCGTTGCTTTCACGACCGTCACCTGATCTTGGCGATCCTCACACCGGCTTCCTTTCTCTGGTAAGTAACCATTCCTCCTGGTTTTTTAGTTCTTGTTGTGTTTCATGAAATTCTGTTTTATCATTTAGTCGCCATTGCTGTTTTACTCGAATATTTGATTTGCGAATCATATATCTGAACATGTTTATTTCATAATTTTGCTCTTTGTCCATGTCTTGAACACTCGCACTGTTCACATGCCTGTTGCTTTCTGCCACTGTTCTTGACCTGATACACTTGTGCAATCTTTTTGTCTTGATTTCTTGATGTCTTTATCATCATTCTTGTTTCTGAAACGAATCCCTATTTTTCTGTTTTCCAGATTCGTTCCTTCAATCTTCATCTCCATAGACTTAGGTTTGGGATTTGTTTGTAGAACCCATAATTTAGGAAAATTTGTGCCTTCAATCTTCGTTTCCATAGACTTAGGTTTGGGATTTGTCTGTAGAACCCACAATTTAGGAAAAACTGAAACGAACTCCCTCTAGATCCATACAAACCCTTACCAAAGTGTACTTTTAGGTTTTTGGCCGAGGTCCTTTAAACCTTCCAAAAATTCTTCTTCTTGAAATCAGATATCTCCATTTAAGACGACATCATGGGTATATGGAAACATAGGGTAAACACCCCATCCAAACTAGAATTCTTTAGACAAGAGTTTGAAATCCCAGCCAACGTCCATTTGAGGTTGGCTGGGGATGATGACTTCACCATGCCTACTGATGACTCCATGCCTTTCTCTATGGTAGCCTTCATTGAGTGTGGACTTCAGCTCCTACTCAACACCTTTTTCCGTGAAATACTTCATTATTACAAGTTGAACCCAATGCAACTTTCATCAATTCCTATCGAACCATCAATGGTATCATAGCCTTAGCCAAACAAGAAAACGCTAGGATCACATTAGCCGGCATTCAATATTGCTACACTATGTGTGGCCTTAAAAAAGACACTGGCTACGTTTACTACCTCAAGCCGAGGTCCACTAAATACAAAATCGTTGTTGACCTCCCTGACTCCAATAAGGGAGCTGGGGACGAATATTTCATTACTTCGGGGAACTGGGAGTTCGCCCCAGATGAAGACCTTCATCTCTTCCCTCTCCTTCGATCAGTCTTTGTAGAGAGCAATGGTAAGAGCCCTGCATTCATACCTACTTGTTTTTTAAAGTCTTTCATACTTTATCTATTTCTTAATGTTTGTTTTTCTTGCAGCTGTTCCTAAGCCACCAAAAAACTTTCGCCAATCCTTCATTCCCAGCAAGGATTTGAAGAGACTTTTGGACTTGCCAGTCCATAAATGGAAGGCGCCTCTACTTCTCAATTTTATTTCAATATACAAGTCAGCTCTGTCCGACGTCCCTAGAAAAAAGAAGAAAAGCCTTTCTCCACCATCTGCCATAACTCCACAAACCGCATCCACATCTCAGACAGACCAAGGGTCAACCTCTGATCCAGCTAAGCAACCGTCAACCTCAGCTCCATACTTGATTCCAATATCCCAACGCCGCCGTCGACGCCGAACAGTTTCTACTGCCGAGATGGCTCACCCAAAACCAGTTGCCAAAGATCTCCTGGCTAACATTCCAACTGATGTTGACGCCCAGCCAACACAAACCCAGCCTCCTTCAAAGCCAAAATGAATCAAAAAAGCTCAGCCAAAGGCAAAGGTGCCTTAGATCGATTCTGAAGATACCTCGCCAATTTCCAAACTGGCTCCAAGTGAAAAAACTGCCTCTGTCCCTGTGA